GGCGACGAGGAGGACATTTCGAAGTTAAGCATGAGCAGGTGAGAATACAAGTTAGAAAGTTCATTTCTCGTCCCCTCGAAAACTTCTCCAGGTCGACCAATAAAGGGACTAGGTAGACTGGGACTGGAATACCAGCCCGAAGAACGTGTAAACTTCTCCAGTATATATATGTAAGCAAAGCATACAAGCACATGATGTTCACCTATGTCTCCACCAAGTTTTAACATCGCACCAATTAGGATACTCACATTCGACCTCGTTCGGATTAATTAAGAGTAACATTCGACCTTGCTTGAATCAACCCACATTCGACCCCGTTCGGATTTATTAAGAGTAGCATTCGACCTCGCTCGAATCAACTCACATTCGACCTCGCTCGAATTAATTTAGAGTAACATTCGACCTCGCTCGAATCAACTCACATTCGACCTCGTTCGAATTAATTTAGAGTAACATTCGACCTAGCTCGAATCAACGCACATTCGACTTCGTTCGAATTAATTCAGAGTAATATTCGACCTCGTTCGAATTAATCTAGAGTAACATTCGACCTCGCTCGAATCAACTCACATTCGACCTCGTTCGAATTAATTTAGAGTAACATTCGAATTCCCTCGAATCAACTTAAATTCGACTTCGTTCGAATTAATTCAGAGTAACATTCGAACTCGTTCGAATCAACTCACATTCAACCTCGTTCGAATTAATCTAGAGTAACATTCGACCTCGCTCGAATCAACTCACATTCGACCTCGTTCGAATCAACTCACATTCGACCTTGGATCAACTCACGTTCGACATCGTTCAAATTCCATTAAGACACTCACATTCGACCTCGCTCGAATCAACTCACATTCGACCCAGCTCGAATTTCATTCATAGTTAACCTCGTCCGAATTAATTATGTGACGTTTAACTTTGCTAGAACTAATCAAAGACACACTCAGCCATGTTTAAGTTAACGCCTACCAACAGTTCTTTAAAATCAAGACAATCAATCGAGGAAAACATTCAAGGAAAAAATAGGACTCAGAAATAAACAGCAAAAGTAGCATTCCAAATCAAAAAAGTATCTTACAAGGTCCGAACAAACGCCCGCAAAAGTATAAACAAATTACAAAAATTACAAAAAGCATCACTCAACGGCATCATCCCCGACATCATCCTCGCCATCATCATTGCCGGTTGAGTATGCATCATCATACCAAGCACCTTGCTCGATTCCACCCAACTCGTCTTCGTTATCGCCCGCTCGTGGCGTGGCGGGATCATAACCACAAGTGATTCGAGCTGCACGTGTCTTGGCACGAGCACCCTCGAACTCAACCTTAGTAACTCTCTCTGCCGCCATCAAGTCCCTAAATATGTCTAGCTGGGCCTCGGCATGGATCCGCTTCTCATACGAATCCCGAGCAACGTCAGGATAAGCGGAAGTGTAAGAGGAAGATGGTCGAGTCAATAACTGTGCCTTTTCGGCCTCAAGATCGGTGACCTGATCATTTGAATTCGAAACCTCTCCCTCAAGCTCGCCAACCCTCTCCTCAAGCCTTGCCTGCCTGAGCACAACCGCCTCTGCTTCACTCGCCCGTTCAGATCTGAGTATGCGGATGACCTCCTCCGATGCCGCCACCCTTGCCAAAGCCACCATCCTGGCTTCCTCGGCTTTCCCCAACTCTGCCGTCTTCCAGATCAACTCATCACTCAAATCATCAGCCCTATTTGAGATCTTCTTAAGCTCAACCAGCGGAGATGCCACTTGAGCCCGAAGATCGGCACACTCAGCCGCGATCCCTCTGCTCACCTCAAGCTCGGCCTCCTTGGCTCTAAGCGCTCCCTCGAGCTCGCTACATTTGCCGATGACCCTCATGAGTTCATCGTCCTTCTGCCTCAACTCATCTCCAAGAGACTGGAAATTATCGTTAGCGCAGAATCGGGCCCGTATCTCACGGTACTTGGCACGGTACTCATGAAACTTCAAAACCATTTTCTTAAAGATAATCTTCCGCTTCTCCTCTCGGCAGGCATTCTCGATCTAAAAAATGAGAGTCTAGTGAAAAAGGAAGAGCCAAAAGAGTCGGCAAAAACAAAAAGGAGAAAGGACGTAAGGTACAAGAACAATAAAAAAAAAACATACCCTCAAAGCCATTCCGAATATGCCTAACGACAGATCGGCATCCATAAACGTCCGCAAAGTCCTGTTCTCGCCGCTAGAGCAGAGAGGAACCAAAGAAGGGACTACGCTCTCTGTATTCGCCAACATGTCGCAGTCCAAGGGAACGACTATGATGCGAGTAGATCCCTCCGTCCTCACTTCTACCCGAGTAAACCCCTCATCGAACATCCGTACCTCTTTAGGATCTATGTCGGAACCGGACTCATAGCCATCTACGCCCACACCTTTCCCCCTCTCCTTAGCAGAGGAAGGAACGTCGGCCTGCCCCGACGGCGACGGATCACTCCTCGGAACGACCTATGCTGCCTCTGATCGCCCTTCTCCTTCCACGGAAGCCTCGGGTAAGGGAGAAATTTCTACATCTGAAGGTTCGAAGCCACGCCGCCCTCTGATGCGACCGTGGCCAGCCCGCGCTCACCCCTTGTTAACCCTTCACTTCCTACTTATAAGGCGAATTTTGCGACCGTATTCATGAATACAATAACGCGAATAAAACGAATACAATCACACAGCTGGACTCCCATATTTTTTAGGCGAATTCCGCTAAGTAATTATGTATATAGTAGCTATAAGAAGTTAATATCCACTAAATAATAGTGGGTTCGAAAATTCCTCAATTTCTTTTTTGGGATTTTTTCCTTCCTACACAATGTTTCAAACTTATTTACCAAAATTGTCCTAGTTTTGTATATTACCCACCCTAAATAAGGATTACTTACAAATTATATACAATTCATTATTAGTTAAATTAGGGGATTTAGTTACATCCTTTTCCTTTTTTCTCTCCTCACCTTTTTCCTCGCTGCCGCCTCTCTCATCAGTTTTTCTTTCTTTCTTCATCACTCTCTCTCACCGTCTTTCTCTCTCAATAAGGTAAGCCTAAAAGTTATCTTCTGCCAATCAACCTATTGAAGTAACCTCTGGTTTGTCACTGGTTTGCCCTTTTCTCTTTTACATTGCTACCTACTAAGTATGAAACTTTAACGGTGCAAGAATGTTATTGAATTCAAACTTGTGACACTTCGATTTGTATTGTGCTCTCTTGAAAATCGAATTATCCTGTAGTTTGATAGTCTTTTTCAAGAGATGAATTCAACACCTAGTAACAAGGTTTTAGGAATTGAAGATTCGAACACTAATCTATCATAACGCTTTGAATTCGAATTTGCATTTTCAAAAATTATTATTTGTTTGGATTCGGTGTTGTTGCAAATAATTGTGAATATTGTTTGGAGTTTATATCTCAATTTTGAGGGTGTTTGGTGAATATTAGACTTGGGTTTGGCTGAATTTCAGATTGAAACTCGAAGAAGAACACATGACATACAATATACTTACGAAATTGTAGTAAAGTTGTAGTATAATTATATATAAATTGTATTACGTTGTAGTTATATATATTTTTTATTTGAATGCTGTATGAAAGTTGAAAAATAGTTGTATAATGTATGAATCGTCGTATAAAATTTGTATTTAAGTTATCAATACTATCTTTTACATAAAGCTGTTGATGTGTATCAAAATTTGTCCAAAGATTTTACGAGGTTAATAACTATCGTGCGAGGCCAGTAAAGTATTATGCTTCACTTGATTGGTTAACTTACCCAATACACTAATCTAACCTATTTAAATCAGCACTAAAATGGATACATCGTACTTACAGTTAATATTATACAATTTGATGGTACAATAACATACAAATTTTAAAACAAATTCCGTACAAATTTACTATAAATTGTTATATCTACAACAACATACATACTAAAAATAAATTTCATACAACTAATTATATAGTATACACTTATTTACAACTTATCTACAAATTTCATACATTATTTTTACCTAGTTAAAATACATCTACAACATCATACAACTTAAATACAATTTTCATACAAATTTTATACAATATGTCTTTTGTATATTTTGTATTTGATTTGTATATATTTTGTATGTGGTGTGTGTTTCTTCCTTTCTAAAATTCCAATCAAAACTTTCTCTCTTAATACAATTTTGATGCATATCAATAATTTTATGTTAAAAGATAGTATTGATAACTTAAATACAAATTTTATACAACGATTCATACATTATACAACTATTTTTTAACTTTCATGCAACATTTAAATAAAAGAATATATATAACTACAACAGAATATAATTTACATACAATTATACTACAACTTTACTACAATTTCGTAAGTATATTGTATGTCATGTCTTCTTCTTCTTCTTCCATTCTGAAATTCAAACAAAATCAAGTCTAATATTCACCAAACACTCTCAAATTCGAATTCAAAGCTTCAAAGCTTTTTAATGACTGTCAATGGTGGAGTGTCAAACATATTCAAAATTTATTGATTGACAATTTCAATTTGAACACCAATTGTGCAACATGAAAGGAAATTGCTAAGTTAAAACTCTATATTAAAACGATTGAAATCCATTGGTGAATTCCATTAAAAATATATTCAACATGAAAGGATAAAAAATAGAAAATATCAGAGGAAGGAAAATAGGGGAAAGAACATAGAATGAGAGATTAAGAGACAGAGAGAGAGCGCATAAGAGAGAGACAGAGAGATAGAGCGCAGGAGGGAGGGAGAATAAGGATGAGAAATAATTGATTCATTATTCAAGGTTACTCATTTAATTCCTAATATATATATATATATATATATATATATAATTGGTAAATTGTATATTATGTAATTACGTTGAAACTTAAGTAGAGTAGGTAATAAAGTTTCAAATAACAAGGTTTTTTTTTTTTTTCTTTTTTTTGTGGAGAAGTCCAATTCCAAATACCTGGGCTGACAGTCTTTACGGCCCGGCCTTGTGTTGAATTTTCCACACTTTGGAACTTGATCAATTACCACCAATGTGGGCATAAGGTACGGTGGCGGGAGATTGCAATTCTCCCTTCCATGGCTGAGAAGTGCAAGTATTCTTGCAAGACTGCTAGTGAAACCCTAGAATGGATTCATGCAATTATCCACTATATATCACCTTACCGTTATTTCTTAGACGCTCATGTCGTCAATTTCTTCAAGGTCTTCCCATTCATCTTCATTTCAGCTTTACCATAGATGAATTGATATTAGGCTATTTTTGCACTGGCTGGCATTCTCCTTACGCATGTTATAAACTTCTTTTGCGAGTATATGCAGGATAGACTATGGGAAGCAGTTGATAAAGAGTGGATGCATTGTTTACGGAAGGAGCCTGTTCAAAATCTTCTCCGAATTCCGTCTGGTGTCGTTCAGGTAGTTATCAGTATCTTCCTTATTTCCTTACCTCTAAGCTTTATAAGTTTTCCTGTCAATTTCATGTGTATTTCAACAACAACAACAACAACGTACCCAGTATATTTAAATAAATTATTTAGTGTCTTGTTAATAAAGCTTTTCTATTTCGATTTTGTTTTTTGTTAATTGGAGTTGTAGAAAGTTTAGAGCTACTTGGCGGTTTATTAGCTGCTTTGCTTCCAGACAGAGGAACTGCATATTGTTCGAGAGAAATTACTTGTAGAAGGTCAAGCAGTAGCACGTATTTTCACCCCAACATTACTTATACTTTTTGATAAGTATTTAACTTATTGATAGAATATGAGAATTTAAGAAGAAACTAAAGTTAAGAACTAAGCTTAAGCTAAGGAAAAGGAAATAATAGATTTCATTCATAGCCTCTGAAGATGGCAAGTTCGATACATATAGGGGAAATAAGGCCTAGGGGTCAAAGTGAAATAACTTAGGGGAAATAAAGTAACTACTTATTGGACTGAAACGTAACGTAAAAACTAATAGCTACTAGGTAAATAACCAACCCAACTCCCATGTACACTTCCGGGAACATAAAATAATACTACTCCCCACAGTTGCTTCATTTCCATATCGTATCACTTATCTCGAATGTAACAAGTGACAACAAATGGTAAACATCCATTGGCTCGACTACTATGGTCCAAATGGAGGAGCCATATGGTAGTGGGGATTCATATAGCTGGCCCCAGCTAGTTTGGGATTTACTCATAGTCGTTGCTGTTGAGTATTGGCCACTTAATACCAAATGTAATTTAGGTAAACATAAGTAAATAACCAACCCAACTCCCATGTACACTTCCGGGGACATAAAATACTACTCCCTACATATGCTTCATTTCCATATCGTATCACTTATATTGAATGTAACAAGTGACAAAAAATGGTAAATTTCCATTGGCTCGACTACTGCGGTCCAAATGGAGGAGCCATATGGGTAGTGGGGATTCATATAGCTGACGCCAGCTAGTTTGGGATTGACGCATAGTCGTCGTTGCTGTTGAGTATTGGCCACTTAATACCAAATGTAATTTAGATAAACATATCCATTACAGTTTTAGTGTGGTATCTATTCTTTTTGTTGTGCGGATTTGTTAAATTTTTTCTTTTAGATGTCACTTTAAGTTTGTAAGTCTGAGTTAAGATGCATCTGGCTGCTTCCAATTGTTAATGTTTTCATATATGGTAAGCTTTGTAGCCATAACTTTCTTTTTCTTCATTTTGGTCCTTAATGAGACTGTCATATTGGTCGTTTAACAAATCCTCCCTTCCGGGGTGAGGGAAGCAGTTATTTTTTCCCACTAAGATATACACCTATAGAATACCATTACTCATTGAGTAAGAACGAGAACTTGGAAAAGTGGAACAAGTTGGAAAGACAGATGATGAAAAGGTATAAAAGCAATGAGTTGGAGACATGGTTAATACCTTCAGTTCTGGAAGGAGAGTATGTAAATATGTCCGTCTTTTATATACCAAGATTTTCAGTGCTTCAGTTTAGTGTCACCTATGACCTAGCGGAAAAAAAAAGGATAAAAGAAGAAGAAAAAGAACAACTTTATCATCTACCATCTAACTAGTATCCATAACTGTTACAAAACCTATATTTCTTTGTTAATTGACTTTCTTCTTATGTTTCTAGGGTCACTGGCCTGTTTCACTTAAGGAATTCATCCTTACTCTGAAGTCTCTTTCTCTTCCACGTGAACAGACAGATTTGCAGGTATATTTATTTTTCTTTTCATTCATAGTGGTTGTAGAATTAGCATTATGGCCTTGTCTCCTTATTTAATCCCATTGTTGTTTCTTATGCTTTTCCCATATTAGAAGTTTTTACACTACTGGCATTTCTTTCGTTTGTTATGGGTTCTGGGTTATGTTATCTATAGACTAAGTATGTTTTGCCCACTGCTGTGCCTAGTTCATTTTGCATAATTCTGTCTGAAGTTGAATGAGATCTTGAAAGGTGCTAGATGACCTCTGCCATTGAGTAGTTTCATGCCCTTTCTGAAGATTGTGATACCTTGCCTGCTCTTTTTCTTCGGTTACTTCCTTATTAAACATCCTAGACCATGTTATAAGGCAGTCAGGTATTGAGTTTTACTAATGCTTCTGTTTGCTTGCAGGAATTTTCAGGAATGCACATAGCTTCACTAAGTAATGTTTTAGCTCAAGGCATGAATCATAAGAAAAAACATGAAGTAAGGCATGGAATTATTTGCTTACTCCTCTTTTACTGACCTCTCTTTGTGCTCAATTTGGCTGACTACAAATCTGTTGAGCATTGTTTATCCTTTTTGCTTTCAAGTTTCAAATTTGTAGAAGTTCAAGTTTGGTAAACCAATTTAGATGACTACTTACTGATATAAGGCCATGAAAGCCGAACCTTTTTTCTTACAGCAAGCTCTCTTGCTACCTATGATCTACTCTAAGTTGTGATTACAAAAACTTTTTTTCTGATGTTGAATTCATGTGCTAGAGAAGCTTCTAAGCATATTCCCTTTACGGTTTTGTTTTCTCAATCTGAATGAAAGAACATAAATAATTTCCAGAAAGTCTTACAAAATGGATTGAAAGATTAAAGAAAGTTGTTTTCTGATTGCGAACCATTTCCTAATTTCGAGCCTATGTTCGAAAGAGCAACTATAGCAGATGCCTTCTATGGGTTTGATTTTCTCAACCGGAACGCTAGAATGATATAATATTGTTTGAGCAGGTAGAAGCCCTTGCTGCCCTGGTCGGTTTAGTTGCAACGCAAGTTGGAGCACGGACAGTTGTTGATGTTGGTGCTGGACAGGTGTGTCCCCTTCTGCTTTCTTCCTGTGCAATTCACACATATTCTGGTGTTGATACACGTGTGTGTATATATATATATATATATATACATATTAGGATTATGACTTACAAATTTACGTGTTATCTTAATTTGTTTTGTAGAATGAGTCAGTACATGGGTAGAACCTACAGGTTAAGGACTTTTTTGCGAGTTTGTAGCTGATGCTCGTTAAATATATTCTTGCTTCTTTTCAACATTGGGCTAATAGATTAACCACCAGACAACCTTGTGGTGCAATAATTTCTGATGCACTTGCAAAAAGTCTGAAACATCTTCTAGTAATTCTAAATACATCAACAACTACACCTCAATCCCAAGCAAGTTGGCTCAGCCATACGAATGGTCCCGGTAAAATTTACACGAAAATAGTTTTGTCGTTGTTTCTGTTAATCTAATAGTTCATACTGCATTTGAACTCAAGGGTATGGCCTAGCTATCAACGAAGTGAGTGAAAATCACAAAAGATTTAGCTCTAAATCTCAACATAGACAACAAATACTTGAATGATTTCCTCTCATTTGTTTAAGGATGGATAGAGTTATCCGAAATTTATACTATCAAGACTTAATAAGTGTCTAGTCGTATAATCGAGTAGCGTGCAAACTGTCCAGAAGAGTACCGTTATTCAGGAAAGAAAAGTTCATGTTGTGTTTTGCCAAAAGCTAATATTCGAACAAGCCAACAATGTTCTTTTGCCTTTAAAAAAGTCCCCCAATTCAGAGCTCTTTCCAGCTTTCAAGATATACAAAAAAGAAAAGCCTTGAATGGTCTTCACATGTTGCTCCATTTAAGCTCATCTCTATCCATTACTTATAAAATAAACTTAAAATTGTAGAAATTCTAAACACGGAGAAATAATTATCTGGATTATCTGGTTTTCCTGTTGTCTGTTTCTACTTAGATTGTTCATGTGGTGTAGGGTTATCTTGCTCAAGTGCTTGCCTTTGAGTACCAGCTTTCTGTAATTGCCATTGATGCTTGTTCACATCATGGTAAGATTACTGATGCACGTGCGGAGCGAATCAGGAAGCACTATGCAGCTAAGATGCGTAAAAATGGGTAGGTAGAGTCTTCCTTATGCTAACGACATCTTTTTATGAGCTCCTTTAAAATTAATCCTATATAATACAAAAATATGGACTGTGAATACATTGGACTTCCTTTTTGCTGTCTTAGCTTTTCCAAAGCAATTAATGAGCAGTAGCAGATGAAATATTTGATATTAGTTGCACTGCTTGGAGTGTCCAAGAATAGCAGATTTATTGTAGAAATTTGGCAGTATTTGTTCTCCTGTTATCCAAAAATGTATGCATCTGCTTCAATGCTCTACATCTATCTGATTCACGGTTAAATTTACTTAGCATCAATATTTTGTGTCATTATTGGATGATTTTCCTCTTTCAGAACGCTTGTTTGTAATCCATTTCCATTTTATCAGCTCCGAACTTAGAGAGATTAGCATGCCAAAGACAGTTACATGCCGGGTGCTGTCTTCTGACACATTGAAGACCTTAAGTAACTTCCGAGAAGAGAATGATGATGCAGCGAATCAACATTTGAGCCGAAAAAGTTCGGGCTCTCAGCTCTCTCGACTTGCTGAGAATATACTGCCTTCTCTATCCTATAGTGATTCTTCATTAGTTATTGCTGGACTTCATGCCTGTGGAGACCTCTCGGTGACAATGCTGAGGTGGGTATCATATTGTATAATTGTGCCCCTTTCTAAGTCTCATGTTCTATTCCATTATCTGATTGGTTAGTGGAAATTGACTTGCGCTTTTTGCTGCGTTAAATACTATGGACAATAGAGGGACATCACATATCTTTTCTCTTAGTCATTCGAAGGCGTTAAATTGGGTTTTATGTTTTTATTATATTAGGTCTTATGTTTTGAGAAGCTTTATGTGAACAATTCTTACTAATATCTTGTACTTATCGTCCCAGCAAGTTTGTTGTATACGTCTTAATTTGCTTTATGGTATCATTCTAGATTGTTATAGTAGTCCCTGCCCATTTTGATATTTATGTGATGTGTCATTGGCTCAAGATTTCTTTTCATTCAGGACATTCTTGGAATGTGACAAAGCTAAGGCGGTGATTAGCGTTGGTTGCTGTTATAACTTGCTTTCCGAGGAAGCCAGTGACATGGTGGATTCTTGTTGTGGTTTTCCTGTAAGCCAAGGTGTTAAATCTGCTGGAGTAGTGCTATATAAAAATGCTCGTGATCTAGCTTGTCAGGTAGATGGGTATTATACTATTCTTTGTTGCCTCGTGTTGATAGACCTTGTTTCAATTCACAGTTCACTTTCGCTGCATCTTCTAAGCTGTCTACCTTTTCATTATAATTGTATTCTGACCTTGAGTTGCTATATCAGAGTGCTGATAGATGGAGAGGCTTGGATGAGCACGCAGGGCTTCACAACTTTGAGTTGCATGCATTTCGTGCTGCTTTCCAGATGGTACATGCTGTTTATTTGGTCTACTATACTAATTGGTTTCTTTGGGCTTATCTATAAGCCCTTACAGTGAAACATTTTGCCTGTAGTATTGGGTTCTGGTGGTTTTATATGTATACCTAGTCAATGCAGTAGCCCACTAACCTGCAGTGATTCTGAAGGTTCTTTTCAGACATTACCCACACATATTGCAAGAAAGCCCTACAATAGGACGTCAAGGGAAAGCCTTACGACGCCAACAGCATCAGAGGATCCTGGAGTCTAATTTGCATTATAGGGGCCCTTCAGAATCTGGTGAGTACTTTTAAGGGATACCATTGATGAAGTTCATTGGGCTTCAAGGTAAAACCATAAAGGGTACATCTCGTATTAATTTCTGAATAACTCATTCATGAGAATTTAGGACTAAACTTATTATGGTCCGTGTTTGGTTTCCAGTTGGTAAAAGTTGATTGAATAGGATTATAAGGATTACTGTTACCCTTATATTTTTTTTCCCAGTCTACTTGTTTAAAAGATGTGTTATATATTCTTGGCCAGTCTAAGATGTTGTAGGTTTCATCATTTAGGGCAACCGTGCATATGTAATAGCCTAACTGTCAAGGCCACCTATTAAGAAAATAAGCTCTTAAGCCCTTTATATGCAGGGGAACCACGGGAGAGTGTGGCCTTTTTCCATGAGTACTCCTCTATTCAGAATTCGAAAAGTAGGGAGTCTAGCACTGTGGACAGATACTCACTATTTGTAAAATTTTGTGAATCTGGGCTAGGTCGCCTACATCTCCCTTGTTTGGAGGATATTGATTACAGTGCAGTCTGGAGGGAGTCTGAATCATATGCTGTAAGTAGATCTTTTGATGATATTGTTATTTTTATTGTTAGTGTCATAGAAGTCCTCTTTGGCGCATTATTATTTGTCTTGTGTACTTAAAGATTCACTTTTGGGAGACCCTGCCGGACTTTCTTCTCATTTTCATGTCTATCTGTCACCCGGTGCTGCTATGTCCTACTCTTGTCATTTGGATGTAATATCAATTCTATCCCTCAGTAAATGCACAAATAGTCTAAAGTTTATTTTGCTTCTATATATGATATTATTCTTGCTTACTCTCTAGAATGTTTCGAGTTGGAAGGGGATTGATCTCTCGGCTGTACTTGCATTTCTGTCTTCTCTTATTTCGGCCAGATCCGTTGAAGTTATCTCCTGCCAAAGGAAAATTTCTTTTATAGCTGACACCTTTCTATTTTGATCTGTGGTTGATTCAATACTAAAGACATGCAAAAGTTGCAAGGATATTATATCAATGCTAACATAGGGTATAAGATTAATGAAACTATTCTCTTTTCACTTTGATCTTTCAGTAAGGATATGCCAAGTAGATTTTTAGTATCCTCAGGGAGGTCTTTGTTTTTCAATCCACGCTCAACCATTTTTTGGGGGCTGGTAAGCAAAGTGATGTTTGCCAACTGCATATAGTAAGACGCAATGGATATTATGATGCATCTTAGAGTTGTTTGTGGGATTGAGGACTTTTCTTGGCATCTATGCAATCTAAGTGATTGGCTTGGTTCAAGAAATTTCCTGATTTCCTAGAGAGTGGTTGCTGTAGCCTGTTGATTTAATCTTCCTCTTTCAGATTGAGGAACATGAATCTCTTTTCTGTACCTTTATAGGACACATTATAAACACAATTCATTACTTGTAAGTTATGACTATTCTATTTTTTTCTTTTTCTTTTTCTTTTTTTGCTTTGAATTTTTGGTTGGCCAAAATTTGTCAGGTCATTGCATCTTTAAGGGATGAAGACTTGTTTAATTTGCTTAATTTGAAGGTTATTTATTTGCTCAAACATAGGATATTGCTGCTTGAAGTTCTTAATTGGATAGTTTAAGTGGTCAAGATATTCTAGTCAGCGTCATTTAGATTGATGTGTATTACACCGTGTGATTCTGAAAGGTCTTGCTGCTCTCTTTCATTTACCTTTTAAAGACAAACTATAAAAACAGTACACTACTTGTCTCTGTCTATCCTTGGACATTAGCTTGGCCAAACTTATTAGTTATTTTAATGAAGAGGTGTTCAAAAGGGCAGCCCGGTCCCGGTGCACGAAGCATCCCGCGTTCATGCAGGGTCCGGGAAGGGCCGCATCTCAAGGGGTGTGAAGTAGACAGCCTACCCTGATGCAAGCATTAGCAACCGATTCCACGGCTTGAACCCGTGACCTACAGGTCACACGGAGACAACTTTACCGTTGCTCCAAGGCTCCTCTTCTTAATGAAAAGGTGTTCAACTTGCTTAATTTGAAAGTCATTAAGTTTGCACAAATGCAGGATATTGCCTCTTGAAGATCATCATTGGATGATTTAAGCGGTCAAGATACTCCTACTCAGCAGCCCCTAGGGGTTAGTCAATTGGCAAAATTTGAGGGACTTGTGTCTTAGGTCACATGTTCGAGCCCTGTGCCAAACGAACTAACTCTGGTATTTAGTTAGAGAAGGGTAGAGGGGCGGGCCCATTATCCCCGAGTTTCGGAGGCTGCAGTTGTCCCAAAGGTCGGCTGTAGATGGATTTCTCGGTCATTAAAAAATAAGAAGATATTTCTACTCAGCATCAATTAGATCGGTGCGGTTCTAAAGGTCAAAAATATCTTAATGGAGTTTGAAGTTCCACAACTTTGTGGCCTTTGTTATTTACTAGTTGATGTAATTGATTTATCTGTTGAGTGGAGGTCTAATTGGTTGTGTGTTGCATCATAGTTCAGTCAAATTCCTGTGAGTTGCATGTGCCAGTCCTATCTGGCTGACAAAGTTGCATAAATTCAGGTGCCTATGATCTGCTCAATTATCCAGATCAATTGGTTAGCTGATATGTGCAGTCCTTGGAGGTTTTGTTTTCTAACTAGCTTAGAAATGTCTATTCTTAGATTGTTTTTGGGGCCTGGTAAATAACAAAAAGATTCCTTTAAAAAAAATGTTTTCCTCTTCTGACAAAGTAATCAACTTTCTGCAGGAGTTAATAGGGCCTTATTGGTCTCTTCGTGCTGCCCTGGGTCCTGTCTTGGAAACTCTTGTACTGCTTGACCGATTGTTGCTCCTCCAGGAGTATGGCAATGATCTGGAAGCAAGCCTCTTACCTATTTTTAGTCCTGTATTATCTCCGAGGAATATGGCTATCATAGCTAAGAAAATTAGAAAGTAGAAAATCTTCCTCAATGTGATTCAACATACTGTGACCAAGAGAAGTTTTGGGGCCAGGAACAAGCTATTTACAGGGTACTGGTGGAAGGAAGTATTTGCGGTGAAAATGTATTATATTTCTCCACTTTGAGAATGGAAGCGTGGAATACTTGTGTTGGCAAGCGTCAGTGGATGACAATATCTAATTGTGGCTTTCTTGGTTTTGTATTAATATTTTAATTTGTTTACAGGTATTTGTTTTGCAAGGTGTTGGCTGAAAGATTCTCTTTACACACATTTGAGCTCAAGTTAGTCTACTGTTGTTCTCTCTTCTTTGAGAAGGCAGCTAGGCAAGCCTTATGACCGATGTGATGGTTATCAATTGAGCCATTTTGTTTAATACGTGGATCTGACGCTGCAGCGTTTTTCATAATAGGATTTGTTTAATTTCATCCAGTTACCTCCTATAATCTTTTATTTTTCCAATAATCGTATCGCTGATGTAGATCTTTATTGGTTTCAAGTTGTGTCCACTCTATATTTTTGTGATTATCTTATGGACCTTGTATTCACTTGTATGTAGTGTAAGAAACTGTCTTCTTTTTACTGGCTGAGTATAATATAAGCCGACCAGACATCATTGTCCTATGAAGTATTCGAGGACAGTAGACAAATGATCCAGTGGTGACTTGAACATTAAGCGAACTTGCACGTTGATTACATTCTCTAATTGTATGCCATTCTTGTTTCCTAAATGGGATGTAAAGTTTGTCGCAGATAACTCAATTCTTAGAAGAAAATACTGTCTACAGGAAGAAATAGAATTGTATCCCAGTTTTTGTTTCCTATGATATGGCTTGTCAAACCTCGTTGGTTTAGTGAAGCACGTTATCTGTGGGTGGAACTCTATTGGATTTTCTCACTTGCCTATGAGTTACTCCCAACATGCATTGAGTGAGTATAACGGGGTTGATTAGACTGCAGAATATTGTGCTTTTTCGCCTCTTTTCTATTTCAGGTACTGTGACTGAGTGAGTGTATTTCACATGCCCGTGTGTGTCTAATGGCGAAGTCATGAATTTTGTTAAGAATGTTTAAAATTTAATATATATGTACAAAAGGTCTACATATATATAAATTTTCATCTATATACACAATATATTTATTCGATGAAGGGTGTTCAATGACAACCTTTGCTGGCTATAGCTAGCTATATCTCCGCCCCTGCGTGTCTATGTATGTGTACACACAAATATATCTGTTGATAGCCTATATTAAGGCTGAAATAGAAGCTTAGTTCTTAAGTAAACTGGTGAGAAGCTAAAGACTAGTTTGCCTAAGTGTAACAAACTACAAAGTGCAGTCGTAGATCGTGATTGCCAGGACTAAATAGAATGTAGTGCTGGCCTTCCTGTTGGGATAATGACTTCTAAAAGCTAAGAAGATTTTTTCTGTGGAAATTGGATGAGTTTCATGGAGTGTTTATAGTAAGAAGGTAACATATATGTTTTGGGTTTCTAGGATAAGATTATGCTGGATTGAAGTTTTGTAATCATTGTTGATCATGCAGTTCTAATAGTACTATATTAGATGTCATGTCCCCACTTGCTCCTCGTGAAGTGCATCATTAGACTTAAGTAAATGACCATTTTATTAGTTATTGTAGCATAAAAATCTCACCGATTATTTGGTTATAACAAGAATTTGGCAAAACTAGTCTTTTGGTTGGAAGGAGTTTTACTCTTTTGTATAACAATAACAAAATGTGTATTTTTGAATTGAATGATGGAGACATGCCTAATTGTATTTATCTTTAAACATAACAATTCTGTCCCATTATCGAATCCTCCCTTACATTTTCTAATATTATTAGGATATTGAACCGCAATCCGGGGTTGGTTAGAATATTTTGCTACTTATTTCTCACTCAAACGATTTTCTCCTTGTTTTGCGTTAAACAAACATCTTTTAGTTTGAAATAAGAAATGGCAAATGAACGGGTTCGATTAAATTTGAATGGGCCAATATGTGTCAAATCAATAGCCGGGTCATGATCCAACCAGCTTCTGCTTAAATCAATATGGGTCAAATAACGGATCATAAGATAATCCATCATTTTGAGTTGCGGAATGAAGTCGAAACGTCCTATCTATGACCTAATCAATTTAAACTTAAATAGGCACTTAACGAAATGGTTTAATTTTCAATAAGAGTTTGTGTAGAGAGGATAGAATTAAAAGATCTGTCCGTGCTTGCCGTCAAAGCGCGCAATTGTTCAGGAGACTTTTGATTTAGACATGAAGAAAATTGTGGAATATTTGATCGTAGTAGATGGGGCTAACAGGTGTTAACTTTAGGCGTGAACACACGTGAAGGTTTGAATAAATATTTGTCGTTTAGGACAGTTGTTAGCTCATTAGTAGGTGGGACAAAATCATATAGTATTATCAGTAAGAATGATATTGAAATTCCACTAGAGGAGAGATATAGTTACTGTTTAGAACAGGATTACTGGAGAGGTTGCTTTCACTGGAAAAGGAAACAATTCAAAGAACTTGGTATAAGATACAAAAACTTGCATTTCCAACTCTTTAATAGTTATTGTCAAACATTTAACTCTTATGGGGATGGGTTTACACCAATTTTCGTTTTCAACATGTAGCTGTATATGAAAATGGCATGAATCTTATCAGGTGTTTGTCAATGAGGTCTATCTAGAATCCTTGTATCAAAATATTAAAAATTGTGGCCGGGGCGGAGGCAGAATTTAATTATAGCTGAACCTAAACCTGTGATCTAGAATAGTTTTTTAACCCACTTTATCACTAAACTATAATCTTCCCCTATATCAAGGGAATTTAACAGTTTCTATATATTTACCTTGTTTAGAGAATGTAATTTTTCGATAAGGGGAATTCAATTGAACTCGTTTATAACAAGGTACCTTCGTCCCTAATTGCAGCTCTAGTGACGGAAAGGTATATGGAGACATTAATCCTAATGAATAGGGAGATGATCAATTTATATAGATTTTTATTATGTACGTCCTTAAAGTGATTATTAACCAAACGAAAAAACGAAATTTGCTTGCTATTAAATACTATAAATTATGAGGTTAGCTAATAAGACCACACGTAATTAATAAAGAGAAAATCTAGCAAGTCCTTACATTTGGGAGTAATTGGGACTACATAGGTTTAGACAATCTCGATAGAGTCATCTGATCATAAAGGCTTATATAGTTATTGTCTCAAATTCATCCTTCTTTTGGATATTTATGACTATCATTCTCTCCATGCATGATCCTATTTATATACGTTTGAGTGTTTCATAAGGAACTCTTTTTCTTTTTTAAGAAAAGAAACAATCTTTAGACTTTTCCAAGAAAAGTTAAGACGAGGACATATTACCAAATCAACCGACGGATCTTTGACCCCAAAAAAAAAAAGTTGGCAATTGAAGCTTATGAGCAGCATTCAGATAAAGCCTGATTGGACTTGAAATTCTTGAGTAAAAGTTATGATGGCAACCTTTTCTTTTCCTTTCCTTGTGAAGATTAAATAGTAACAGGGACATCTAATTGTGTATTTGTTAATAGTAACGGAAGTGTTGCACAACCTGCTTTGATCAATTGCTCAAGTTCGATTTCGTCTCTCTTGGAAACGAAATACTCTTCACAAACTAAGTGTCCTTGGTGTATTTCTTGTGAGAAAAAGGAGATAAGTTCTCTGTATTTTACTTCTTCTTCTTGTGTCTCTCTGACGAGTACGTATGTTCCCTTTTATTTAGGGTTAAGGAAGAAAGCAGTTCTGAAGAAAAAACTGTTCCCTCCCAGAAGAAAAAAAAATAATCGTCTAGAATATGCTGCCACAAAACTAAATGTGAAATAACTTCTCATAAGAGGTTATTTATTCTTATCTATTCATAAATGGGTCGAGTCAGCCCACATGGAGCGACCCGCGGTCAAAATAGAAAATAAATCTAACATCTCCCACTTCGCTCATGGTGGGATGTACCCAAACCAATATCATGCCAATAACACACGTTATTCAAACAGACAAATAGTTCGTGCGACCTGCGAGCATCAAGAGCTATAAAAAATTTTCAAACTCATTAAGGTTATTCTAAATCTCTATGTAGAAATCCGAACACATTCGGAAAGGATTCACTACTAACATGAGGATCTTATTACTCGCACCCCAGACATTACTCGCCATTCCTGTAGCTAGTTATCCGATCCCTCATCCTCGAAAGAGGTGAACTCGAGTTCATATTTAACTTTGTATTCATAATTACATTTGATACCCTCATGGTAAGTATAATGGTCGACCTATGAATACAAGTTAAATTACTAATTTTTTTAGTTGTCTTCCCTTTCTACTCGAATCTTTCCATTCCAAATCACTGCTTTCCTAGACATGCACTGCATTGCCGAATCACTCATGGTTAATAGTGACATGCTAAAGTAGTAACAATGATTGGCACTTCAACAGACAGTAAAAGATCAAAGGGTATTCTAATAAAAGTTGATATAACTTCTTTGGTATCTCACACAATGAAGAAACGGGGACTCATTCTTCCATTATCCCATTGGTCGATATCACACGTGGTATGGAACACATGTTACGGTATTTTCACCTTATATTGGTGCGTGTGTCTTATTCTTTTAATCATTCAACACCGTACATATCTTGGTCTAGACACCTTCAAGTGTCTAACCCGAGTTTCTCACTTCAATAATCCTCAAACCATCTTCTTAGAGAAACTTGCATCTGGCTTACAAAACAAGTCATAATTGAATTGTGGAATTCGTGAGTCTGATTAGCTGTCAAGACCGACCTCTAGAAGGAAATATAACCTCGCATTATCCAAGGTTCTATAAGGTCTCATCTCTTAACGATTCTTAACGTAAGAGGTGATTGCTCGCGTGAGAGAGCCAATCTCGCGACTTGTTCGACACACTTTATCAACAAAAAAACATTCATCACATACATACGAGATATAAGCATAATTCAAGAGTCAAATATTGATGAGCATATTATAATACTAAAGTCATTTTACAATACATAAATATGTTCATGTCCTTCGCAAACCTAGAGCCATAACATGTTTCTCAAACAGGTCTCTAGATATCATCTTTGTAAAAGAATCAGCTATCATGCTTCGCGTAGGAATGTACTGTAAATTTATCTCTCCACTTGCTACCATGTCTCTTACAAAGTTATACCTGATGTCAATGTGTTTGGTCTTGCTGTGATACTTAGGATCTTTTGTATATGCAATAGCCGCTTGACTATCACAATATAAAGTCATGGCACCCTGAGAGTTCTTTGAAATATCCAAATGCTCAAAGAATCTCTTCAACCAAACAACTTCTTGTACTGCAGACGCACAAGCCACGAACTCAACTTCCATTGTTGAAAGGGTTGTACAGGTTTGTTTCTTACTTTTCCATGATATAGCACCGCCATTAAGTAAGAAGGCATAACCGGATGTTGATTTTCTATCATTCCGTTCACCAGCCCAATCAGCATCTGCATATCCTCTCAAGTACAAATTATTTCCACTATAACATAGTGAATAATCTGCAGTTCCCTTCAGGTATC